TTACCACTGAACATTAAGATAGATAAGAAAAGTTAAAAGCTTTCAAAAATTTCATCTTGGATCCACAATCAATAACTTTGGTACCAGCAGTTCAGAGATCAAGACATGTATTGCAATGGCCAAGTTTTCTGTCTGAGACCTTTCCAAATTACTGAAGCAATGATGCCAGTTTGAAGACTAAGGTGAATCTGATCTAGTCCATGGTCTTTTCCATCATTTGCTGTGTATGCATCTGAGAGCTGGATAATGAATAAGAATGGCAGAAGAATAATTGATGTCTTTGAGCTGTGGTGTTGGAGAAGAGTACTGAATATCCCATAGACTTAAAAAAAACCCCAACAACCAGATATGTATTGGAGAAAGTGTAGCCAGGGTGATGACAAAGCTACATCTCTCATAATTTGAGCATGCATCCTTGGAGAAGCACATCACGCTTGGAAAGGTAGAAAGTCACAAAAGGGAGGAAGAACCTCCATGAGATGAACTAAAACAATGACCACAACAACGGGTTCAACTTTGTCAGAGATGATGAGGACGGCACAGGATATGACATGGTTCAGGTCTCATGTTTGCAGGGTCACTGTGAGTTGTAATCTACTTGATAGTACCTAAAAACCACCACCTTTGTGTTGGCAGAGAACTTCCTATGTCATCAAGATTCCTTATGAGTTATTGTTATTGTTGTTGTTGTTGTTAAGTGCCATCGAGTCGCAGGCGACTCACAGCGACCCTATGAATGACAGTCCTCAACGCTTGGGTGCCTTTCATCCTCTCTCCAGGGTCACAGGGTTTCCGGAGGCAAGCTGCTATGGAAGTGGATGCCACTCCTCCTTCCAAGCTTGTTTTAATCAGGGAGCCCCACCCCACTCTCCGTCCTCATTGGGTAGCCAACCATTAATGCATTTGACACACCATTGTCACGGTGTTCAGCCTCACAGCAACCAAAAGTGAACACAGCAAGGCAACGTGGACACCAGGGCTATACGACCTAGGGGAATGTCTGAACAAAAACAATGAAAGACTGAGTTATTAGAGAATAAAAAAAAACAAAACAAACCTGAAAGGGGAGAACACCTACGACCTGGATGGAATGCAAACCTATCTCTCCCAGTAGCAAATGTTCAGAAGTTTTCTAGGGCTGTTTCACACTGGGAGGACAAAACAAGAATTGAGGCCTTTGTATCGTGGTGTTGGAGAAGAACACTGAATATTTTATGGACTGCCAGAAGAACAACAAACAGATTTTATGTTAAAAAATGTGCTCCCAGATTGCTTCTTGTAACAAGAATAAAGAAGCATTGTCTCACATACTTTGAGCATGTTGCTAGGACTATTCCCTGCAGAGGGACATTATGCTTGGAAAGGTGGAAGGTCAGCAAAAGAGAGGAAGACCCTCCGTAAGATAGATTGACACAGTGGCAGGAGCAATCAACTCGCGTGTATCAGAGAAGGCAAAATGAAACAGGACGGGATAGGGTTCAGCTCTGTTGTTCACAGGGTCAATCTGAGTCTTACTCACCTTGATGGCACTTAATAACAACAACAAATATAAGCCATAGATTTCAAATATTAATATTTACAAAGTTAAAGAAAAAGCAAAAATACAAAACTTTATGTCAACAACTAAACATGAGCAAATAGCCTATTTGCAAATAGCAATAGCCTTATATTTGTAAATATTTTAATTTGTACTATATAAATTCAACCAAAAATGTATTAAATGTTTTAATTCTAAATTATCAAGCAGCCATTGCTTCAGGCTTCTATTCATAGAGGACTTCTTTCTAGCTTTATTGTGGATGTGAGTAATCTTTATTCCAAGTTAAGTCAAACACCAAATAGCCCAAATTACCTTCTCATTTTAATACTTTTTAAGACACAAAGACATTTTAGTATGCTTTGTACATTTTCTTAATTAGATAATACAACCTTTAAAACTGTTAAATAACCTCTTGAGACAAATTTGCAGACTTCTCACCATGGTCATCTTTCTCATTCACTGCTGCCTGTGAAACAGTAGTCTAATCAAACAACCTAATTATAAGCTTTCTAATGGTAACAGCTCCACTGTTGTAAAGAGTGTTCTCTGAAGTGCTTTGTCACTTGAGTAGTTGTGTCAGCAGCCTGGTAAAGTTACTGAAAGAATGTGAAAGTTAAAATACCATTAGAACACTCATTCTGCTGACTTCTTTTATAGTTTATTTTAAAACATAAATAATTTAGTTCTGCTTCTGATATAGATGAATAGCTTCCACTACATCTGACCTTTTCAGAGGTATCTACTATTAATATTGGTTAATGCAGTGACAACAATAAAACTTTACAAAAAACAGTAACCTAGAGATAGCTTGATAGGGTTCTCTTTGACCGAAAATGGAACTTTCTGTGTTTCTTCAATAGTGGCATTAAAAACAATACATTGAAACTGGTTATATGCATTTAAATCCATAAATTTATCAGTTTATGATAATCAAGGATATGTCAAACATCTATTCTTTCTTATAATAACTATACCATTGGATAAGCAAATAACACAGGAAAGTATCTTTTAATTAGCATATGCCATCTGATAATAACTTATATAAGTTATGGAATTAAAATATCACATTTTTTCAATGTGAATTAACATATACAGGCATTAACATTACGTGATCATTAACATCACACAAACAAAAGAGAAATAGTGTCCCTTCATAGATATAGTCTTCCTTTTAAAGTTTGAGACAGATAATACTTATTGTCTGATCAAAACTTCCAATAGAGCCTCATTTTACTGAGTGAAAACCAAAGTTTTTAAAATTAATGGCTATAAGGGCCTCTAATATTTGTGTTGAACTCGGTATCTATCCCTATCTCCACCTGTACACTTCATTAAAAAAAATCAAACAAACAAAAACAAATAATTAAAGGGTAGAGTCAAATTACTCCATAACGTTTCAAGGCCACAGTCTTCACAGTACTAGACTACTTTATTTCTCTCTCACAGAGCAGTTTGGGTCACAGCACTGACCTTTTAAGTCAGCACCAGAGTGCTTGACCCATTTCAGGGCTCCTTGACTTCTTCATTATTCTTAATTCTGGTTTCCTTCCTGCCCCTTTCTTTAACATACAAACTGTGCTCTGGCTTCAAAGCCTTTGTGTCAGCTATACATTCTGCCCCTATGCTTTTTCTCTTGATAGTCACATAGCTTACTTCCTTATGTATTTTTAGTAAGCAAAACTTGTCTATTCATTGAAGGCTAGTGAGTGCTCCCATTTAAAATTGTATCTAACTCTCATTCCATTCCTATTATATGCATACCCACCAATAGATGATTTTTTATCATCATTATTATAGAATGTTTGATATATAGTTCAATTATTGTTATAGGTTTGTATGTTAACCTCCTGCTACTAATCTTCCAGAATGTAAACACGTGGGATTTCAAGGTCTTTTCTGTTCACTGGTAGTTCCCAAGTACTTGGAAGGATTAGTTTCTGATCTGCAGCAGAAATTTAGGTAAATATCTGTCAAGGGGAAGAATTCTCATATATGAGTGTCTTTTATCCTTTAACAATTTCAATCTCTTTGTTTTTCCAAGTAGTTTCTTTTCCTCCCCTCTGTTTTTTATTATCCCCAATAATGGGCAACAGAGCTAGCAGGAATAATTTAGATAATTGCTAAAACTCAATTTAACTCTCTTCTTGAATTAAATATTTTAAATAATTGTTAAAAAGTAATGAGGTTGACTATAATTTTCCCCCATTTATTTCCCCTAGCCATGTTTTGTGAAGGTGCTTTTGAACAAGTAATCAGCTCAGGCACAACGAGAGAGTGGAAAGAAAATTTGGATAATCAGTCATTGAACAATGGAGAGTTAACAGGATATAAATGTGAACTTACAAAACAAGTCTCCATGGAAGAAATTATTCTTCATAATAATCTTCTGAAAACATTAACCTTAATTTTAATGGCTTCTCTCCACCAACTCATTCAAACTTCTCATCAACTTTCAATTATTAAGAATATCCAGTCATTTCTGGTTAGGAAAGATAAATTCCTTCCCGAGTTCAATAGTTTAGCAGTCTCAAATTAGTTTATCCATTTTAACTAAGACCATCCATCAGCAACCATATGATACTGAAGTTTAGTAGCTATTGTATATTCGCTAATATAAATTAGCAGGACAAAATGTCTATGTATTTATATTTATTCATATCAGTTCCCATTTCTTTCCCCACTTTTCGTCATTAAACTAAAGCCTTGAAATTGATTGCCTAGTGAAAATGAGGCTACCTATTGTAGGAAGTAATTCTTCAGTTGACTTTGTTTTGGTTTTGGTCTTTGTTGGGAATTAAGAGTCTTGATTTTAGCCTTTAAAAGAGGAAAAAGTTTTAGATCACAACACCTCGCCTTTCAAAAGGCCATGTTGTTGTGTGTACCAGTCAGAATCAACTCACTGCTAACATACACTGGAGGAAGCTGACCAGCATGGGAGGAGATTACCTATCCTCTTGGAGCACAACAAGAGGATTTGAACTACAAACCCTTAAAATATATTCTGTATCTTCATAAACAAAGCAGTAAGAGGCTTAAAGAGAGGGGGAAGAAATTATAGAACTTTTAAATTTAGCATTCCTCAGGAAATAGAACTTTTAGACAAAAATATCACACTAGACAAAATTTTTATTTGACATAAAAATTTAAAACGGACAGGTTTGACACAGCAAAGTATAAAATATGGATGTAATGAAAGTATTATATTTTTAAAATAAAATTACAGACTAGATTGACACTTACACTATAAAATGAAATAAATGCCTGGTATTATAACACATAATAATTATTTTCTATACATTGTGAATCAACACATTTAAATTCAGAATTTGTTTGCATCAATTAAATTACACATACTAACACTAACAAATAACAAGAATTCTCTTAATTAAACACACACACATATGTATAGTTATTTTCAATCTAGTTTAGATGTTCTAGATATTTATTCTTTTAATGGTAAATACCGAAATTATGACATGTGAAGACAGTGTATAAGAGATATCAAGTCAGCTTTGATTCCATTATTAAGAAATCCATACAGAATTGGATTAAGACAACAGGACATCATTCCTAGCAAATGGCAAATGCAATACACCAACTTGAAATGCCTATTTGAAATAAGATTATCATTAAAATCTGTCACTACATGGAAAAGATGTAGTGGCATCCAGCTAACAGCAAACACTAGTATCAAAATGGTCAGTCTGTAGAAAATACTTCGAGACTTTTTTTTAAACCTTATGATAGAGCGTTTTACTCTCATTTCATGATTATCTGAGATTTCTTCAGCCTTCATCTCAAAGCAGGTGGGGATCCCTGGTATGATCTTACTGGATGAAGAGAAGTGAGTTCTCACGGAACCATTCTGTGGCTGCATTACTGAGCGCTTTTCTTGTAGAGGACTCACTGGAGCAGGTAACACACAGGCTGTCTTCTTGCTGTATCTTCTTCTATGTTTTTGGATAAATGAGTAACTCCATTTATGGCTGCTGGAGAGTTTTACTGGTGGCCCATTCTTTTTGGATGGCTGCACAGTCAAGTTGATCATCTCATGTTCTTCTACACTGTTTTCTTTACTGGACAACTCGCAACTTACACTCCTACATACACTGGTATGACTTACAGTCAGGCAAACCAAAGGCAGGATATACTGAACAAGCAATAAAGAGATAGTGAAAGCAATTCTATATGCATCAGAAGGCCATGACTCAATACATAAATACTTGCTGCTCATGGACCCTGAGCCAAATGTTTCCTGAAGTCCCACAAGACTATGAAACACTGGGAGAGGAGAGCAAATTGCAAAACCTAGTGTCCAAACAGTAGCTACTAAGAAGTAGCCATGGTTTGCTGTTAAACTATTAGAAAGAGGATATTTTATCATATGATACCGGACAATGGCGATTGATATTAAAATTAAAGTTGAAACCAGAACTGATACACATTGAAGGAAAGGCATTATGTGGCACATGACTTTGCCAAACATCCATTGATCCAGCAATATAGAGGTCAGTGTGAAAGGGGAGCAAAACAACACAATCAAAATATCAGAGAAGGCCAGATTTCCTATGAGGAAGTTCACTATAGTCTTCTGATTGCGCTTTCTCATGAGAGCCATCAAAATAAGTAAATTCCCCATAAAGCCAAGAAGGCTTACAAATGTATAGAGTCCAATCAGAAAATACTGCAAATCATCTACACTGCTTTTATAGTCGTCCCAGTTTGGAAAACCAGAATTCCTAGTGGCAGCGGTATTATTCTCAGTGGCAAGTGTCTTGTTATAATACTCTTTCAGCTGTAAATCCATATTAAAGTCCTGTTGGAAAGAAAAAGATATTGTTTAGCAACCTGAACAAATTATATGACTACTAGAAACTAATTTACTGATCAAGATTTTTTTTGAGTGGTCGGATGAGGGAAATTTAATGAATTTGTTCTTGAAAACAATGTATTCAAATTTCGTAAATGAACTAGTAGAAAATTTTAAAAAAACAACCAAAATCTTATACCCTATTAGCATTACCTTTTTAATCTAAGAAATTCATGCTATGTATTCATTCCATATGTAATGTAAACATCAGCCATTAACAATTAAAGCATGTTTTATCATTGTCAATTGTTGTTTTTTGTTGTTATGTGCCTTCAGGTCACCTGCGACTTATGGTGACTCTATGTACAATAGCTCTGAAGCTTTCCCTGTTCTGAGCCGGTCTCACTGACTCTAATACACTGACTCCCTTGCCCTAGTTACTGTATCAATCCATCTCATCCAGGGTCTTCCTCTCCTGTGCTGTCCCTCCAACCTTTAAACCATGATGTCTTTCTCTAAGAAATGGTCCCTCCTGGCCATGTGCCCAAAGTATGTGAGACAGAACTTTGAAAATCATAGCCTCCAAGGAGAAACTTGGTTTCAGTCTCTGCAAGACAGACCTCTTTGTTTTCTTGGTAGTCCATGGCTTGTTCAAGACCCTTCTACACGCACCATAACTCAAAGGCATCAATTGTTCTTCTGTCATCTTTAGTCAGTGTCCAGATCTCTGATGCACAGAAAGTAATTGCAAAGACCATGACCTGGATCAAGCACACCTTAGTCTCTAGACTGATATCATTGCTCCTCAATACTCTGGAGAGGTCCCTGACAGCAGATTTTCCCAGTGCAATATGTCTTTTGATTTCCTGACCACTGATGCCAAGCCTTGTGCTAAAGTAGTAAATTGTGATATAAAATGTATGAGGGAAGGAATGTTTGAAAAAGGGGAAGAAAATGCAGATAAAAAAATTTCTATTTCTCTAATTACAATCGACATACCTATCCACATTACCCTCTTCACTACAGGACAGGGTTCAGTCCTATTGTACATAGGTTCACTAAGTATCACAGGTGACTTAATAGTACATAAAAATAACAAAAATTGCAATCAATCATAAGGGTTATTCTTTAGGCAAGATATCTGATTTATGGTGTACTCTAGGGTTGGTAAAAGAGAGGAAGACCCTCAACCAGATCTATTGACAGATTTATTGACATATTGCAATGGGCTCCGGTATGTCAAATAATGAAGATGGCTCAGGATAGGAAAGGGTCCAGGTCTGTTGTATACGGGGTTGCTAGGAGTCAAGTATGACTTGATGGTACTAAACAACAACTACTTGCCTTAAAAAGGAGCTCTGATAGCAAGGCATGTTAAGAGTTGTGCTGCTCACTGAAAGGTCAATGGTTCGGATTCACAAACCAATCTATCTGTGGATGAAAGACAGGCAGTATCCTCCAAAAATATTTACAGCCTTGGAAACCTGATAGGTGATGGCTCTGAGTCAGAATTAACAACAATGAGTTGGGGTTTGGGTCTTCTTGCCTTCCAGATTCATTCTCTCTTTTTTTCCTGACTTAAGGCAAAACTATTCTTAAAATATTAAGTCACCTGTCGTCTCTGCTCTACTCAATTACTGTTGCTGTGTACCGTTAAGTAGAAACTGGCCCATAGATGACCCTCCAGCAAGCTTTCAGAGATAATTTTAATCTTTCGGGAGGAGATTACACATTTTTAAAATTAATTTTAATGAAGTTTACAGAAACTTAGGGTTTCAAGTCATTCATTGTTACACTTTTCTTCCTGCCTACACCCTCCCCCTCAATTAACTTTTCTCCTTGATAAGTAAAAGAAAGACTCTTTCATTGCTTTGCAATCCCTCCCCTCAAGTTCACTGCACTGTGCAGCCTTCACCCTGGACTCCTGACATGACAATAATAACTAATCATATATCCCTTTTAAACAGAGATTGCCCCATTTTTCTCTGGCACAGCAGCTGGTGTATATGAACTGTGTGTCGTCAGGATTGCAGTACAACTCCTTACGACTAGGCCACCTGAGCACCCTGCTCTACCCAACAGGAGATCATTTTCTTTCCTCAGAGCCCCTCTACTCTAGTTGTTTGGTGATATTTTTCATAATCTGCTTTGCGTTATTACATTTGCAAAATATACCAATTTGCCTCATTTAATAAGTAGAACTGTTCCTTATTTACCCTTAAAAATGAAAAAAAATATAAATTTAAAGAAACAAAAACACAAACACAACATCCTAGCAATTCAACTACTCTATAGGAAGCTCTTGTGGCCTAGTGATAATAAGCTTGTGCTGCAATACTGAAGGCACTTGGTTCAAATACACCAGCCCCTGCATGGGAGCTGGATGGCAATTTCTTCCCATACAAATTAAAGCCTCTGAATGGAGGGTCAGCTATGAGTAGGTTCTGACTCAAGAGCAAACAACAATAGTTTATAGGGAGCTTTGGTGGCCTAGTGGCAAGAAGCTGTACTGCTAACCCTAAGGTACATAATTCAAATCCATCAGCATCCGAGGGAGAAAGATGGACAATTTCCTCCCATACAAATAAAAAGCTCTGAAAATCCTCTGGAGAGTCAGCTATTAGTCAGTTCTGACTCAGTGCCACACAACAACAGCAATATAGTTTATACAACATTGAAATTCAGAATCCTAAAATGTAGAGACCTTCTTTCAAGACTTACCATGCACTCAATAAAAGTTTATTAGGTTGCATCACTGATATGTGAATAGACTTCTGGACGCCAAAATTACTCCATGATCAATCCTCAGTGCTTTGAGTTAGGTCAAATTACCATGTAGTAGGATAACTACTGACAAGCAGTGTTGGGTCATCTTTAGTTGTTTATTTTTTAATTTAAAAATTATGTATAGATAGATAGCTTTCATAAGTCTGGTGGCTCACGTGGTTTACTATTGGCTGCTAACATAAAGGCGGGTGGTTTAGATGCACACACCCAGCAACTGTGGAGAAGAAAGATCTCCTATTCATCAGCTTCCAAGATCATAGCGAAGAAAATCCGAGGAAGACTTCTGCTCTCTGATATGGGGTCACTAGAAATGCAGTCAACACTACGCCAGCTAGAGCAAAATGAGCACCTTAAAAAATTCCATTAATTCATCATCTTTTGGGTTTTAATTTGAGTGAAGTTTTACAAACTTTACTAGGGTTTTGGGGCTTTTTTGGTGTGGCTTTCCTAATATGGTTTCAAGGAAACAGTCTATCTTAAAGTTAAATGGGAACCAATACTAATGTAACATTCCCAAATAAGATAGGGTTTGTGGTGTTGCTTTTTCCCCCTTCAAACAAAAGTAATGTTATACCACAATGGCGCTACTTACTTGCTTCTGACAATACTACTGAAAATTAGACTATCAAGAAGGAAGAAGAAAAGCTCCTCTTTTCCTTTAAAATTCAGCACTTTTCAGTTTTTTATCAGAAAGCTCCTATGGAAAAACTCAAGACATTAATTCTGGGGGAGATTTATATATATATATATATATATATATATATATATATACACACACACACACACATATATATATACATATATATATACATACATATATATATACATACATATATATGTATATAACTTCCACTAGATATAGATATTTATGTACTTATTTCTAGAACTATAAATGGATAATAATCCTTAAAGCTGCACAAAAACATATATATATTTAGTTTAACAAGAGATAAAATTTTCTTTAGGTTAAAATAGATTTACTGGCATAGTCCAATAAATTTCTAATTATGAAATTTGGTTGAGCGAGTACATTAATTACATTAACTAGCTTCTGTTTTATACACAAATATAAAACAGGAAGACATAGATATTGTTTCACTATGAGGTAATTTGAAAGTTTAAGCTTCCTAATTTCTACAACTGATTCCATGATGATTTAATTCATTTCTGGAAACTAATTGTTGGGTTTGCATGCCATCAAGTTCGTCCCAACTCATAGTGACCCCTATATACAATAGATCAAAATCCTGCCCCATCTCTCAACCATCATTTCTATGATTGAGCACACTGTTGCAGTCATTGTGTCAATCCATTTCCTTAAGTGACTCACACAGCCTACTGACTCATCTTATTTATCATTCTGCTAGTCAATGGCCTCCCAGGTCCTACCTTGGATATGTGCATAAACTTCTAATCAAAGCAACTTTGGCTAGTGTTTCTGCCTAATTTCCTGAGTGCTGCTGTCGCCCTGGCTTGACCTAGATTGTTCAGAATCCTATTTATACTCACGTGTACAGGCTATTTGTAACTGTAATCTTGCTTATTCTTTTTATCCACTTTCTTGAATCAATGCTGTCCTCAACATTTTGTGATAGGTCATCATACATCAACTCTCTGCTCTATTAGAAACTCAAGGACAACAAAGATATTAGAGAGCGACTTCTACAATGACTTTTACTTTCTTGGGCTATTGTTATTAGGATGAGATCATTAAGAGTAAAACACAGGTACACTATTTATTTACTTATTTATTTATTTTTAAGAAGGAAGTACAGTAAAGGTTGTGGTTAGAGAAGCAACGTGGTTTTGAGAGTAACTGTGTTAGTATACTTACATATATGTGGCATAGAGCTGGTGGAGTAGACCTTAGGGAATTGCACTAGCAATCTAAAGGTGCCACTTCTCTGGTGGTTTTAAATTTACCAGCGGCTCTAAAGGGAGAAAGAAGGGCAATCTCTTCTGTGATTTATAGCCTTATATCAGCTATGAGTTGGTTCTGACTTGATGGCAATGAGGGGTTTAAAAAAAATAATGTACATATTGTTGTGCATCACAGAGTTGGAACTGACCCACAGCTGACCCTCTGTCCATCCTTCTTCCATGGAGCTGCTGGTGGCCTCAAACTGTGGGCCTTTGAGGTTGCAACAAATTTATCTTACATTTTAATTTGATCCATAATCAACACCCATAGAAGTTGCAGTTGAGAAATCAAAGAGTGCACTACATTGAGAAAATGTGCTGCAAAAGATCTGATTAA